TATATATATATATATATATATATATATACATGCATACATACTTACATACATTATCTTTGTAATTTCCTTCTTACAAACTTTCAAAACGCAGCTTGACTTAAAACAAGATGTGGAAGATAATCAGAACAGGGAGGTTCACAAGTATGATATGGTACTAGAGGTGAGGGATCTAGCTAGCAGAGGCATGGCTGCCAAGGTTGTAGAAGAAATAAATGCCTTAAATCCTCAGTTTTTGGAGCAGAACCCTGTTCTTCTATTTCAGTTGAAACAGGTAAATGATGACTTCTCTTATGGATTTTGTTGTCACAATGAACTCCTAATTCATGGAGATACAAAATTATGAAACTTCTTGCTCACTAATGTAATTCTTTTAGGTGGAATTTCTTACGTTGGTCAAGGGTGGAGATCACCGCAATGCTCTCAAAGTTGCATGTTCTGACTTGGGTCCTCTGGCAGCTGGCAATCCAGCTTTGCTGAAACCACTAAAGGAAACTTTACTGGCTTTCCTTAATCCCAATGAAGATGCTCTTGCAAAATGCGTGCCTTTATCTGTCCTTTCGACTTCCCTTCAGGTGTGTTTCTGGTATCACGATGGCATGTCAGGCTTGGTTGTTTTTTGCTTCGTGCCTGTTCTTGTTGCCTGCGTTAATCTAAGTTCAGACATTTCTTTGTGCCTCCTAAGAACTGTGTCTTGTTTCAATATGCATATCAGTTTAGAAGTTAGAACCAGTTTTGCATAAAAGGTTTCTTAATGACACTTTATATCCTAAATCACTAAATGGCTTGGCAGAAAGACTTTTGTCTGGTGGAGGCCCTACTTATTATCTCACCTTTTTTAAGTAATTCCCTTAACAAATTTAGTGTAATTGATTTTACTGCTCATTGTTTGACTGTTAATACTGTGCAGTTTCATAAGTAAGAATTAAATTCTGGCTGCTTTCTATGGATCCTTATGAAATTAAAACGTGCTATTTATAGATTCAATGCAATTTAGGATAATTTTCTTAATACCATCCCTAAGGCCTTCCAATTTCCAACTCGAAATAAGGCAATGTTTTGAATTTGGGGTAGAGTTTATTCCTGCCTGGCTGTCTATTGGCTACATTATTTAAAAATAGGTTTAGGACTTACAGCTCACTCCATTCGTCTCTTCCCAATCTATTCGGCTCCTCATACATTCATCATGACTTCAGTCAATCACGATAGTCAACCCAAAAATATGTTTCCTCTCTCTAAATTGCATCAACTGGTGAGTCTTCGTCTATGGCTCTCATGAATTGCATGGTTTGACTACTATTTATTCAAGTGAAAGAAAAGTTGACCTAATTGTTATAGCTTGTAGTGATAGCCTTATACTAATCGTTGCAATGAGGCTTACGCTGTGAGCAAAGTAGTCACAAGACTCGCAACAGTTAATGAGGTAAAAGTGCTGATCTATGTTCAATAGATGTTTGGTGTCTGGAATTACTAATTGTAAAATTAACTAAGGAGAATCACGAGATGTCATCTGTGGGATGTAGTATTTAGCAAGGGTCTAGTGCCACTTGTGAAGGTGCTAGAGGCAGCAAAAAATACGAATACAATCGACAAGCTAGAAAACATGCACATGTCATTAACTAATACAGTCTTTGTATTTCACGAGAAGTGCCACATCCTAAGATGTTTTCAGGACATCTTAATATAGTGTAAGTCTTGACATAAATGAGCATATGATACACAAAGGATATTCATTGTCTTTCCAATAATTTTCAACATACATTACGGTTAAAATACAACAAACTAATATATGAGAGATGAAAGTGTATAAGAGAGATTAAAATCTAGAAAGAGAGAGAAAGAGAGCGAGAGGTGAGAGAGAAAGCAATATGAAGAAGAAGAAGAGAGAAGGGTTATGGTTAGGTTGTACTGACCCCTATTCCTCACTCATGTTCTTTTATACAATAATAAAAGGGAAATGAAGTCTACCCCCCTCCCCAAAATTTCTATTCCTATTAGCCCCTTGGGTTCACCAAAATCCCTTGTACCCCCTCAAGTTTAAACTTTGGTACCATTATCACCCAAATATGTTTTCTTTGTTCTTTTTACAAATTTGATCTTTTTTTTTTTTGATAATGTTAATCTACAAATTTGATCATTTTATTTTACAAAATGCCAAATCCATACGTTAGTCATCTATTTTATTTTTTTCGTGACTTGATAAACAAATTTCATTGATGATAAAAATTATAATAATAGTAATTACAACAACAACATATCAATTGTTAAATAATTCATCTCTTATTGGTTTTGATAAATTTCTTTAATAAATGAATAAATAAATAATAACCCATTAACAATAGTAATAAAGATCTTGATTATTCATTTCCCAAGTTCAAAAGATATTGATGCAATTGTAAAATAGGTCATAATATTAAAGAAACAATTATTTTCTTTTTAAGTCTACTTTTGTAGAGTAGGGTCCACAGAGATAAGATTGGTTTTGGGCAATGAAAGAGAAAGGGAACGGAGTTGACTAATTGATGGGCTTGGCATTTTGTAAAACAAAAAGATCAAATTTGTAAAAAGAACAAAGAAAAGCATAATTGGGGCGCTAAGGTCCCAATGTTTTAAACTTGAGGGGGTACAAGGGATTTTGCTAAACCCAAGGGGCTAATAGGGATGGAAATTTGGGGAGGGGAGTAAAGGTCATTTTCCCATAACAAAAAGCCTAAAGTACAAAACTGCCCTTAAGTAATGGGAAAGACAAAAAAGTCCTTAGGGACTTAAATGCAAAAAGAAATAAATCTAGAGTCAATTATTCATGACACTCCCCCTCATGTTTGTGCATAGATGTTTGTTGTGCCCAACTTGCTTAAGATCATGTGTAATAAAGGTTTCCCAATAGCCTTGGTAAGAATGTCTGCTAGCTGGTCACCTGTTTTAGCATATGGAGGACAAGTTTCCTAGGTTGCAACCCTTTCTCGAATAAAATGCCAATCTACTTCAATATGTTTAGTTTGATCATGTTGAAATTGATTATGAGCTATATTGATTACTGCCTTGTTATCATGGTACATGACATTGATCCTTACAAAGAAAAACCAAGTTTCGTAATAGAATTTTTAGCCAAGTAATTCACATGCACCATGAGCCATGGATCTATACACAGCTTCTGCACTTGATCTTGCTACAACTGACTCTTTTACTCCAAGTTACAAGGTTCCCTTCAATAAAAATATAGTACCCTGATGTCGATCTTCAATCCATAATAGAACCAGCCCAGTCAGCATCTGTATAGACCTCAACTTGTAAGTGCCCATGATTAGCAAACAATAATTCTCTCCCTAGTGATGATTTTAGATATGCGAGAACTCTGACAATAGCCTTGAGATGGATAGTTCGTGCAGAATGCATAAATTTACGCTTACAACATATGCAATATCTGGGGCGTGTAAGTGAAAGGCATATTAGTCGACCTACTAATTTTTGAAAGCCTCCTAACATTAGAAGGAATAGAAATAGAAGACAGAGTATGCAAAAGCATAGTAGGAAGGAGACAAGGACATAAGAAACAAGATTGTCAATTGGGTTAGCAGTGCAACTGCGTATACCTTTCCGTACAACAATGGACAGATCAAATTGATCACTCTGAGAACTAATGGAATTAGAACTAGAATTACTTGGTTTAGAGGTATGTAATTGGCTTGGAGGCATGTCAGCTATGGCAGTGTCCAATTCTCTTTGTTTCTGTTGAGTTTGGACGTTTGATTACTTTTTTCCAACTTCAACATAATAAGTCTATTCGCCACTATCCTCCTGAGCTCAAGTATCAGGAAAATGGAAAGAGGAAGGGGAACATGTGTTCCCTCTTCCACATTGTGAACCCCCCTAAAGAGGGATTGGAAGAAAAAGAGTGGTCTCCAAGAAGGTTACCTCCTTCAACACAAATTTCTTCCCCAGCACTGGATCATCGTACTTGTAACCCTTTTGAGGGTACATATAATCAAGAAAAATGCATTTGACAAATTTGGGGTCCAAGTTTGTGCAATTGGGACTTAGAACATGAGCGGAGCAACCACAAACAAAGACTTTAGGAGGAAGATTAAGATGTGGACGATCAAGACAGAGAAGTTTATGGGGAGATTTGTAGCCTAGAGCATGAAGGCATCCAATTGATGAGATAGGATGCAGTAAGAACAACCTCCAACCAGTACTTCTTGGGTACATTCACGCTCAAGAGAAGTGCATAGTTAACTTCCAAAAGGTGTCTATTCTTTCTTTCAGCTACTCTATTTTGTTGTAGGGTGTATGGGCAAGAATTCTGATGTTCTATGGCACGTTCTTCAAGATAGGCCAACTCCTCACATTGCGGTACTCTCCACTTTGATTAGATCTAGGTACCTTAGTTTTAGTATCCAAGTAAGTATGAATCATCCTATGAAAGATTTTGGACATGAAGATGTTCGGAACTTCATCATCAGTCATGTGCAGCAGAAGTAACCACCCATAGAAGAAACAAAATACTAGTAACGAAAAATAGAATTAACAGGAGATGGACCCCGCACATCAGAATGGGCAATAGCAAAAGGAGCATTACTTTTGTTATTATTGGGTAAAAAGAGTTTCAAAGATGTTTTGAAAGTTCACAGACTTCACATTGAAGCTCTAATACACTAGTAATAGTAAACAACTTAGGAGTTAAAATTTTCAATGGCTGGAAAGGTAATTGGCCAAGTCAGAGATGCCACTGCCAAATCCGATCTTTATTAAATTAATGCAGGACTAAAGATCTTGAGGAGTAGTAGGCAAGTCAAGAATATAAAGACAACCAGCTTCACGACCAGTGCGAATCATCTTCCTCGTATCCAGGTCTTAAAAAACAAAGTGGGAGGGAAACAAGGTTACACTACAATTTAGACTCTTGGAAATGCTACTGATAGACATTAAGTTTGTAGCAAACCTAGGAACATGAAGAACTGATGGCAGAGACAATTGAGGGCAAATATTTACAGATCCTTTTTCAAACAATGGAAGAAAAGGATCCATCAGCAATTCTAACTCTCCACCATACAAAGGGAATATGAAGAAAACAAGGGAGACATACCAATCATATGATTTGAAGCTTTGGAATAAATAATCCAGGGCTATCGGCACGAATAAAGAGAAACATGATTAGCAGAAGCATGCATACTTGAGTGGGTGAAGGATGATGTGGAGGTAGTATATGAGCCATCTAACTGTGCAAGCAACTGATGAAGACTCTCAATTTCCTCATCAGGAACTGATATCATCTCTTTTTGAGCCGAAGATGAGGGTTGAGCTGTATTGGGTAGTTTTTGATAGTTGTTGAGCCACCAATTGATGAAGCATTGTCCACCTTGGACACATTCTTACTTTGGGAGTAAGTTTGGTGTAATGAATTGAGATCTCTCTTGCAGTTCCAAGAAACAGGAATCCCCTACTAATTGATGGTAGCATTGAGTGCAATAACCAAGACATTGCTGTCAAATTTTTAATCTCTCACTTCTCATGCAAGGTATGTCTCTTCAAATTCAATAATTTTTCCATGATGTATCCGATCTTCCCTCTTCCACCAATAAAAATGTTAGCAAAATGTGACTATTCCCAGTAATTTGTTCCATCAAGTTTAACAATTGTAATCTGCAGTCTTGGGTTTTCTCCATGGCTAGCCGTGTGAGAGTTATACCGGGGAGTAGAAGAGGTGGTAGAAGAGTGCTCTGAATCACTAATATTGGACATAACACCTACTACATTGCCTATACACACCACAGAACACTCGCTGATTAACTATACAAGAGATCTCAATAAAGTATGTGTCTCACTACTCATGTCTAGGGTGACATATTAAAGGAGTCCAGCAACCAATTTTGAAACACTAAATCGTCCTGTCCAATTCTAGGGTTTTGAGTTCAAACTCAACACATGTTGAAAGTAACCTGAAATTATGTTTTGATGCACCATACCAATTGTTCAGATGTGAGTTTTCAATCCACCCTAACCTGATCGGGGGTTTCGGCCACCATCAATTTCTAGATCTATGATCTTAGTCCATACCATCTAGACTCTAGGTTTTCAAGCCACAGATAAAAACAAAAGAATCCATGGAAGAAGGGAACTGTAAAATTAGGGTTTTTCAATTCATACTTGGTTTTCTAGGTTTAGGGTTTCTGACCATTGTATAGTTCTATCACATCATTAGGGTTTCAAACAAATATCTCGAAGCTAGGGTTGGTAATGGGCAGGGTGGCCATTCCTAGCCCAGTTAGCCTGGCCCTATTAAACTAAGGCATGGCAGAATGTGGCCTAAGGGCCAGGCCACCACAGCCCGCAGGGCTGGTTAGGGCCTAGGCCAAGGCCTCATTGAGAGGGAGTGTTGTGAACAATTGAGTTTATATTTATTTCTTCTTCTATTTAAATCCTTAAGGACTCATCTTTCCTTTTACTTAAGCACAGTTTTATACTTAATACTTTTTATTATTGGTATAAAAGAACATGAGTGGGGCATAGGGTCAGTAGGACCAAACAGTGACCCTTCTTCTCTCATCTTCTTCTTCTTCAAGTGACTCTCGCTTTCTCTCTCTCACATACACATATCTCTCTTTCTAGATGTTAATCTCTCTTCTACTTTTAATCTCTGGTTCCAAGTTAAAATTCAACAAACTAACATGTATGAGATGAAAGAGTATAAGAGAGATTAAGATCTAGAAAGAGAAAGACTCTCAGAGAGAGAGAGTCACTTCAAGAAGAAGAAGAGGAGAGAAGGTCACGGTTTGGTCGTACTGACCTCAATAGCCAGTTATGTTCATTTATATAATAATAAAAGTTTGAAGTACAAAACTTCCCGTAAGGGAAAAGACAAAGAAGTCCTTAGGGACTTGAATACATGAAGAAATAGATATAACGTTAGGTATTCTCAGCAATATGACCAATTGTACCTGAAAACACACATGGACAATATTTGGAAAAGGAGGAGCTTTGGATTCTATGTTATGGGCCTTGGAATGCACCTTGAAATTGAGGAAACGTTACCAAAAACAATTAACAGTTTAAAAAAAAAAAGGAAAAAGGTCCAGGTTTTTCACATGGCCCTCTCCCTTGTGAATCAAATGGAAGATAAATGGGGCTATGCCCATGGCCTATTACAAATAAAAACTTGATTTCTGCCTTGTGCTCGTAAATTTCAAATCTGAAACTTTCAAGCTTGACACACTACATTGCCTGTGGCTAACCAGACCAATGTTGGCCATTTGTAACTTTTTCCACATATTTAGGGAGAGATAATTAGTCTTCCAACATGAACAACAGAACCTTTAGGGGGGAGACAACCACAGTCAAAAGCATGAAAGATAGAGTCAGAATTCTGGTCACCATCTGGGCCTCAAACCACAAATCCTTCAGACATTTCTCCTCATCTGAATTCCTCCTAAACTGGCAGGCGCATATGCATTCGAGGCCCACTAGGATCTCACGTGCCTCTCTCTGGAGACCACTGGATCCAGGCCAAGCTGAGCTCATTTTTTATGGTTTCTCTCTGGACAACCCTGGCCCCTCTGGTATCTGGGGCATCTTTAGAACTCATGACGGGTCCACCCTTCTTTCCTTCTTACTCTCCATCGGCCCTGCTGATTCCAGTACCGTGGAAGCCCTCGTGCTTTTAGAAGGAGTTAGGAAATTCAATCCTACCTAGAGTCCTGTATTGGTTGTTGAGGGTGACTCTAAAAACGCAATAGCCTGGCACGGGCTCTACACCGTGCCCCTGGAGACTTGACCACGTTTTCTAGGAGATTTCATACATGCAGGGCTATGTGGGTTTCATGGAGGCATATTTTCAGGGAGTCTAATGCAGCACCAGATGCACTCACAGAGAGGAAGCAGGACTCAGCACCACCTAGGGGATATTTGGCATTTTTTGGAGCTCTTAGTCCCCATTTTTGTACCTAGCTTCTGTTATTATCTCGATGTAGAGCTTCTTTTTGGCCCTTGTGCGGGCTTTTGTACAGGGCACCCATGCTCTGGGTTGCCTATTCTTTTGTATCTGCTTACACTTGAAATTTCCTATACTACTTAATACAATAGTCACCGAAATAACCAAACAAGCAAAAATAAATAAAAAATAAAAAATTCTGATCATTTGGTGATCCAAAATTTCTAGAGAACCTTCTAGAGACTCTTGAATGGTTGATAACATAAGCCATAAATCTATAACTTATCTGGCTGTACCTTTAAACATGTGACCTAGGTTATGGTGCTGATGAACTGGTAACAGATTAGGGTTATAAGATTAATGATGAGCCATATATATATATATATAATGAGATTTGTGGCATTCTGCTATTAGAGGCTCAAGAAATTGATTCAAGTCTAGATATTTTGTATCTTGTTCCAGGGCACCCATGTTCTGGGTTGCCTATTCTTTTGTACCTGCGCACACTTGAAGTTTCCTGTACTACTTCATACAATGGTCACTGAAATAACAAAAAAAGAAAAAAAAAACAACAAAATCTGATCATTTGGTGATCCAAAATTTCAACAGAACCTGAATGGTTGGTAACGGAAGCCATAAATCTATGACTTCTCTGGCTGCACCTTTGCATGTGACCTAGGTTATGGTGCTGATTGACTGGTAGCAAGTTAGGGTCGCAAGGTTATTGATGAGCCATAGATATAATGAGATTTGAGACATTCTGCTATTAGAGACTCAAGAAATTTTCGAAGTTCAGATATTTTGTATCTTGTTCGAGTATATATTGGATTACTTGTCTCCTTTCTTGATTTATCTGGGATTGTTCCTGCTTTTGTTTTTTGGGTGAACTGTTTTGATACTTCATTCCACTTTCTGTTACTAGAGTAAAAACTTGGTAATGAGAATATTTTTCTTGCCATTGATTCTTGCACTTGATTGGAACCTTGTAGTGCAATTATGCAGTTATATTCCATGATTGGACTACTAAAATCCCAAGGTCTTTGGCCTGTTGCAGGTTTTATTGGGTAAAAGTCTTGGCATTGAAGAACCACAACTAATGAAGATAATGAGGGCCACACTCTATTCTCATACTGAGTGGTTTAAGCTGCAAATGTGTAAAGATCGCTTTGAGGAATTTTTAAAGATTAATTGTTTGAAAGAAATCGATTCTCCCTGGTTCACTGATGCTGCATCTAAGACCACTGTAGACTCTTGCAGTTACGGGGCATCTCAAGTTACTATATCCACGAGTAGTAGACGATCATCAGACACTGGCGACCTGATCAATGAGCCATCAAGAGAGATTATTTTTGATGAAACTGCCATACTCAAAGTTATGGTGAGTTCTATTTGTTCTATAGTTTTTTATAACTTAATGTATCCATGCTGTTCTTCGTGTTCTATCGTCATTTTCATGTAGATTGGTTGACAGTGATAACCTAACTCAATTTATATACCCTTTTATCATGTATGCCAAATAAATAGCATGTCTTACCATATGTTAAAAGAGGAGTCTCCTGGTTATGTTTCATGTCCACTTTGTTATTGCTTGGCATGTAGGCCACTAGATTCACTGTTATTTGATCCAAACCAGAGTTGGAAACTTTGGACTCATTCTGGGAGACCCGAAGGCCCAGAGCGAGTTAGCTCAGGAAAAATAAAGTCTTTTAGAAGTTCATAAAACCTTCATACAAAAGGAAAATAAGCCTCTGATTCAATGGAAAACAAGCCTATCTATCAAACAAATCACAAAATTTACATACAAAGAGTATTTTGATGTTCAAAATATATGTGCTTAGAAGCAAATTCTTTCATTGGGCGTTAAACAGATTGATTAGTAGAAAATTATGATATTTGAGGGAATTGTGCTATGTTCATTTGTAGTGGCCAAGTAGTCTAGATCATTATTCTTGATATTCTTCCTAATCTGCTGGCATATTGATGTGTCTAAAATTTTGAAATGTTTGAATATCTATTTGGTTTTACAATTTTATTTAGATTAGTACCAACTTATTGTCAGAAAGAAGATTGATTTAATTAGATAATATTAAAAAAAAATTGTAATCCTCACAAAATCGGATACAGGACTTCTAATTTATTCCAACTGTATTTTATGAGAAAGAGAGGGAAGTATAGCTGAGCCAGAAGGGTTATTGGACCCTTAGTTATCACAGAAAGGCCTACATTTCCTCAAGGGTGTGCATGACGGCATGTTGTTTCTTGATGGAGCTAGGAAAGCTTCCTAGTATTGCTCTATATTGATGTGTTGTAAAGAAATTTGAGAGATTGGCTGAGATCTAAGTGTTTTGCAAACAGTTTTATTCAAGCTAAATGTGCAGGACTTACTTGAGAGTTGAAAGTATGAGGATGCTCTTTAAGGAGGATGGGTATCCTTCACCTTTTCATTACAAAATGGTTATTCTGAAATGAAAAGTTTTGTAAAGAAAATCTATTGAAAAAACAAATTACAAAACTATGAATTAGCATTTGGGTATTTAATCTCCTATTGAGCAGGACCAGGTTTTGAATTTTAGTATTGCAGATATTTATTAAAGATTTATAAAGAAAATCTATTGAAAAAAAATTACAAAACTATGAATTTGCATTTGGGTATTTAATCTCTTATTGAGTAGGACCAGGTTTTGAATTTTAGTATTGCAGATATTAATATTCGTTATTTTATGAGGTATTAGTATTGCACATATTAACTTCGTCTCTTTCATTCTTTTTCAAACTAGCAAAACTGAGAGAGGAGTGTAGGGATTTAGAACATGTTAAATGCATTAAGGGCAAAGATTATAGGTCTTGGTGAAGGATGACGTGGTCAATAAAAGGTGGGGAATTTATTTTAAAAATTGTTAAATGATTACCACTTTGGGAGCACAACATATGAGAACCTTTGAGGTAAATGATGTCGGAGGTCATGGATACATTTGTAGGATTAGGATATCTAAAGTGAAATAAGCTTTAAGAAAGATGAACGTCGAAAAGGCTTTAGGACCAAATGGTGTACCAATGAAGGTTTGGAAGTGCATGTGAGAGATTGGCATATTTGGTTGATTAACTTGTTCAACATGATCTTAAGAACAAAGAAAATGCCCGACGCTATTTTCTCAATCATATGCTTAAGCAGAAAAATAGCCTCGATGATTGAGAAATTCAATGAGAAGAGAAAAGACTTCCACATGGTTTTCACTGATTTAAAGAAAGCATACGATAGGATACTTAGAGAGTTAACTTGGTGGGAGTTGGAAAAGAAAGGAGTCTCTAGATGATATATTGACACGGTGAGGGCTATGTACAAGGGAGCGGTACCTAGTGTGAGGGTAATTAGTGGAGAGACAAATAAGTTTTCATGATGGTAGGCCTACATTAGGGGTCAGCATTGAGTCCATATCTCTTTGCTTTGGTTATGGATGAGTTAACTTGACATCTACTAAATGAGATATCGTGGTGTATGTTAGTTGCAAATGACATAACTTTGATTGATGAGATAGAGATGACATCAACGCAAAGTTAGAACTTTGGAGGGATGCTTCAGAATCCTAAGGTTTTGAAATTAGTCGGACTAAGACAGAATATATGAAATACAAATTTAGTAATAATAGGAGTAAGAATGAGGAATTAGTTAAGATTGATGGCTAAAAAATACTTATAGGAGATTATTTTTTATATCTTGGGTTGATAATCCATGAGAATGGAGAGGAAGATATCGTGCATAGGATTAAAATTGGGTGGATAAAGTGGAGATGTGCTTCTGAAGTCCTATGTGATCAATGCATACCAATGAAACTAAAGGAGAAGTTCTAAAGGATGGCTGCAAGACCAGCCATGCTTTATGGGACAGAGTGTTGGGCGGTCACGAACAACATATCCATAGAATGAGTGTAGCTGAGATGGATGAGTGGCAAGACAAGAAATGATAGAATTCAGAATAAATACATTTGAGGGAACTTAAAGGTAGCTCCAGTAGGGGACAAGATGAGAGAAAGTAGAGTTAGGTGGTCTTGCCATGTAAAGAATCGATCTAGAACATCGGTTAGGATGAGTGATTTAGTTCAAGTAGAAGGCTCTAAAAGGGCAAGGGGAAGGCCTAAAAGGATATGGATAGATGTTTAGTGAGCAGAGAAATGGTGACTTGTAGTCTAACTGAGGGTATGACCCTTAATAGAGCGTAATAGCACAACAAGATTCGTGTAGCTGGCACCAAATAGTTAGGATAAGGCTGTTGGAGTGGGATTCTTTTGTCCCCTATTCCCTCCTGGTGGGAGTCACTCTCTATGTCGGTTTCTGGTTGGGTTGGTTTGAGAATCCAGTGTAAACTATGAAGGTGTCTAATCCTGTAGCCACTTGTTGCCCAGGTCCTTCTATTCCCAGAAATCATCCGTACTCCAGGGAATTCAAAATATTGACATGTGGGAAGAATCCAAGCTTCTTTTGGCCCAAGAACTTCAATGGAGGTCCCAACTCAAGATTGAGTGCCAATCGATCCTCAAAAAAGAGGAGATTTTTTAGCACCAGAGATCCAGAATCAAGGGGTTGCACTACAGAGACCTCAACACTGGATTTTTTCACAAAACTGCAAACTGTAGGTGGAGAGACAATACAATCTCTCACCTAACGGTCGGCGATAGAATTTTGGAGCAACCTCTTGAGATTGAAGAAGCCATTCTTCCATACTTTAAACAGTTATTTGCCGCTCCCATCTGTCCCAGACCCAAGATGGACGATTTCTCCTTTCTTTCCCTCCCCCTTGACAAAGTGCTTTGGATGGAGAGATCTTTCTCTGAAGTAGAAATCTGAACAGCCATTGATCAAATGGCTCTCGATAGGGTTCCTGGCATTGATGGCTACTCGATGGCTCCCTTCAAAATTTTCTAGGACTCTTTCCGATTCGACATTTTCGCTCTTTTCGACAAATTCCACTTGAGAGGAGTCATCATTTGAGCAATGAATGCAACTTTTGTCACCCTTGTCCCCACAATCGAAGGAACGAAGCATCTAAAAGATTACGGCCCAATCAGTCTTATCAACTCAACCTAAACAATCATTTCCAAGGTCTTAGCCTCTCGATTGAAAGCGATTCTTTCCCTAGTTATTTCTCCCTTTCAAAGTGCTTTTGTTATAGACCGCCAAATTCTAGACGGGGCTTTGGTAGCCCACGAGTGTATCCACTCAAGACATCTAGCAAAACAACCTAGTCTCGTAATAAAATTAGATTGGGAGAAAGCATATGGCCATGTTGACTGGAACATTTTGGAAGAAACCCTTACTAGAATGGACTTCGGAAGTCGGTGGAGGATTTGGATGTAAGTGTGTTATTCCCAACCCTTCTTCTCAATTCTCATTAATGGATCATCGAAAGGCTATTTCCCTTCCTCTAGGGGTTTAAGGCAGGATGATCCGCTTTCTGCATTCCTCTTTGCCATCTTGGCAAAAGTATTTAGTCAGTCCACCTGTAGAATGTTTGCTGCAGGCAAAATGAATGGATTTAAGTGTGGGAGCCCGGGCCCCTTTAGTCTCTCACCTTCAATATGTGGATGACTCCCTTGTTTTCTGCAACGCTTCTCCACTTGAACTCGACAACCTTTTCATGTTTCTAAAATGATTTGAGTTCGTCATGGGGTTTAAAGTTAACTTCAGCAAGTCTCAGATGATGGGGATAGTTATTGATTTCCAAGTTACAAAGCTTTTGCGGACAACTAGGGCTGCGAGGCAAAGCCCCTTCCTTCTAATTACTTGGGTCTTCCCCTCTGCATCGATAAGCCTAAAAAATTGCTTCTGGTCGCACATTATAGATAAGGTGGACCGCAAGCTTGCAGGCTGGAAAGGCCCCTTCCTATCCTCGACTGGGAGGTTAACCCTCATAAAGGCTACCCTGGCCAATATTCCTGTTTACTAGAGGTCTATCTTCCACATGACAGCAGCAGTGTCTTCTCAATTCAAACAACTCTTTCGCAGGTTTTTTGGTCTGGTGACGCTGCGATTGACAAGTTCCACTTAAATCTCCTGGGAAAAACTGTCAACCTAAGAGGTTAGGGGGTCTTAGAATCTGTAAATTGAGGAAACATAACTTGGCTTTACTTAGGAAATGGTGGTGGTGCCTTGCTACCCAAAGAGACCAGTTATGGATTGACATTCTGAAGCATAAATATTGCCTTGCACCTTCTTCTTGGGTACCGGAGTACAGGGCACAGAATAGAGCCTCTGGGATTTGGAAATCAATCTCTTCCTCCCTGGCATCTTTCAAAAGCCTCGTTCACTTTCACTCTAGAGAAGGCAACCGAGTTCGTTTTTGGCACGACCTTTGGATAGGTCAAGAATTCCTCGAAGTCCAATGCCCAAAACTATTCTCTTGCTCGCTTCCATGAGGCATCGGTGGCAGATGAGATGACCACCGCTGGTTCTTATTGAACCTGGAACCCGGTGTTCAGGAGAGCTCTTAGTGACTGAAAAATTTCGCTTTTCTTTTAGCTTGCTGCCACCCTTCAAAATTGTTTCCTTGCGTTTCAAGGTCCGGACCTCATTATCTAGACTCTCTCCCCCTCTGATATATTCTCGGTCTCATTATTCTTATCACAAACTTCTCCAACCACCTACTTTCCCTCTCTCCCCTGGAGCCCAAGCGTGGTCATCTTTCGCCCCTCCTAAAATCCAGGTATTCATGTGGCTTGCTCTTTCCTAAAGGGTGCTCACCATCGACCATCTTCAGAGTAGAGGCATTGTCCTCACAAATCGATGTGTCCTGTGAAGAGAGCAATGTCCACCTATTCCTTCACTGCCACTTCGCCCACAAGCTCTGGGGTATAGTCCTTAGCCTATTTAAATGCCAGTGGGTCTTACCCGCCAATGTATACCAGCTTATTAACTCTCTGCAACCATTCCCGTGGCCTGAACCAGGCATTTTATTATGGAAATCTTTGGTGGCAGCCATGGTTTGGGCCTTGTGGATTGAGCGCAACAATAGGATCTTCCAGGGTGCACACTTATCTGGGGAAGGCCTTTTCTCCAAGATCAAATCCTCGATTGTCTTCTAAGCAACCAATCACAGGAGCTTCAAAGGTGTACACCATTTAGCCTTCTACCAAAATTGGGAAGCCATTCTTCTTTTTAGACCTATTCACCTTAAACTCAACTTCAATGGCTGCTCCTTGGGCTATCCCATACCATCGGGAATTGTGTCCCTTCTCAGGTAGCACACCGGAGCCATCCCTGCTTCCACATCCAAGAACATCGGCCAATGACTGTTGATGCTCTGGCTTTACTGGAGGGGGTAAGGCTTCTAGTCCCCTTTAGGAATGCCCCAATTATGATCGAGGGAGACCCAAAGAATGTTATTTGGCTGGGAATCAAATTCTTCTCCCTTTCCTTGGACTTTGGCTAACATTTTTTGCGAAATTGCACACCTATGCAGTGATATGCTCGTCGCATGGAGGCATATTTGGCGGGAATCAAACCAGGAAGCCAACACCCTCGCTAAGGATGCCGCATCTCTAGATAGCCTATTTTTTGGAAAAAGTGTATCCTCTTTAATTATCAATACAATGTTAACATGTTAAAAAAAAAAAAAACACTACAAATTTTATTTTGGACCTTGTGCTCAAACAATGAGACATTCTCAACCACGCGATTTTAAATTTAAAGGCCGATGTTGTTTGTGACTTCTTTGTATCAAAAATCAAGGGTCTCATTGTACACATTCGGTGATGTAATAGCCCACCTCTTGTCGGTAGAATGGTTTTTCCTTTTATTCTTTTTCAAACTTAACTTTTATAATAGAGCACTCGTCTCTTGTGGGTGGCCTAAGGGGTTCCTTTTTGTACTTACATATATAATACAAAGTTAACCTTTGTCCTAAAAACAAAAAGAAGAGAAAATTGTACCATGACTTGGGCTCTGTTTTGATGGACATTTATTCCTGGTTATTCTTGTTCTCTCCACTGCCCATTTGTAAAGTCTAATGTGTCTCGTTTGGTCTTCTCCATCTATTTATAAGGGCAATTTCCTTCGGCTGCTTATTTGGGAAATATCACAAATCACTCTCTTGCCTATTTAATAAAACAAACTAGAAATGCCCATGGTCATGAATAACTCCAAACGAAACAAGGGAGCATACAAGCCTTTGGACATAAATTTTGTGGGACAATGCCTTCCACCAAGTGAAACGAACTGAAGGGTCCTTAATGCATATTTGCATCGTTTAGCATCTCTTTAACATAAGAGAGACATGCTTGCCATTGTTTCTGTTTCTTGAATTTGGTCGATTCTCTATAATTTCTTACTTATGTCGCTTTGCTTATTAATTGAGCAAATATCTGTTCTTTATTTAAACAGGGGACTCTCTGTTTATTTCATGAAATCTGTAGATCTTTTTAGTTTTCCAATTTCTATATGCAGTTTTGCATCTATGAGCATTTGAACTTAAGCTTCCGTGTCTTTGTTCTATATGTTCACAGGAATTCCTGGCTTTGCCAAGGTCTGATGCCATCCAGCTTCTAGCTCAATACAATGGAAACGCAGAGACTGTTATACAGCAGATATTTGCATGACAAACTACTGTGACATAGTGATCTGGTCTTCTTCTTCTTTTTTCCTTCCATCTGTTTTTTATTTTATTTATTCAATTTGTTTTATATATGGTCTAGGGGGAATTCCATTTTATTCACCAATTCGAGTCACCCATCCTAACCTTGTACAATGTTTTTTTGGTACATTTGTTTATAGATTGTAAATAGGTAGACAGAATCAATTTAATAAGAAAAAGGACTTATTATCCGTGAAAGTGTTCGAAACTTAGTTTCATCGAATATGCTATTATTGTGTACATCTATAGTAGAATTATCTGATCAATAGGATATAGGTGTTGATGTTTAGCACAGGGCCGAGCTTTTAAAGTCGAAGTTTATCGGAGACTGTTGTTCCGGCACATTAATGTATTATTATTTTTTTGACAATGATATTAATTTTATTAATACTGAAATAAAGCAAGTTTCGGCATGTTAAAGTATTATTGTTTTTTTGACAATATTATTAATTTTATTAATACTGAAATAAAAGCAAAGAAATTACAGAGGCAATAAAAGCATCAAATCCCCATCGATATACAACTCTTCCAAACAAGACACCCCTCTTAGCAAGTCCATCTGCCACAAATTTTGCATCCTTATAAACACGTGTAAAGGAGACGTCCATCAATCTATATGTTAGTATTTTTGTTTTGTAAAATATTTAACTTATTTCAAAACAACAATATGTTTGTGGTTTTTCTTAAGTTGTTTTGTAAAGAGAAAGTTGTGGGTTTGAGTCCCACATTGAAGAGAAGAGAGTTATTTGTGTTGTATTTAAGAGCACGTAATCTCATGCTTTATATTTTTAGTACAAAGGTAAGAGAGATGGTGCATGCGCGGAGCATGTGAAGTGTATGATGTGTATATGCATGTGATAGCGTGGGAGCAAGGGCGTTTGATGGCGCACTTTGTATTTCGCACTCTTCATGAGGCGTCTCGTGCCCAAGCACATGTGCGGGTAGGGTTCGTAGCTTGTTATCTTTTTGTGAGCCCGGCTCGTCTAGGGGATGCAACGGTCATCTAGCTGTTGATGAAATGGAGGCAAAATGAGGTTGTAAATTTTATGAGATGGCAACAAAATATAATCTTCTTGCTTACTACACTCAATGTAGCTTACATAATCACCGAGTTTATGCGTTCACCACCGCCACCATCAAATGACTCGATCGAGGAGCAAACTCAAGCATACAAAAAGATGGATGGAGGATGACTACATTTGTAAAGGTCACATCCCCAACGCTTTGACGGACTCGATCTATGACATGTATGGATCGGTTGCCACGACAAGAGCTGTTTGAAAGCTTCTTGAAACCAAATACCTCACGGAAAAGTCTGGTAACAAAAGATTTCTCATTGCTAATGTTCTAAATTTTAAATTTATTGAAAACAAGCCAATTTTTTCTTAAGTATATGAGTTGCAGCTTGGAGTTAATGAATTTAAAGATTGTGGAATTTCATTAGATGATGTTTCTTTTAGTAGGCTATTTTATTCATAAACAACTCCCATCGTGGAAAGAGTATCAAAAGAAAATGAAACATAAAAAAGTTAACCTTGATTTAGTTCAACTTAAAAAATCTCTTCGAATTAAAGAAGAAAATTGACTTAGGGAAAAGTAAGATGAAACTATGAATTTTTATACTAAGGCAAATCTTATTGAGGAAAATTCAAATGCTCCATAAAACAAGAAGCCTTTTTGCTTTAGTCCATAATGAAAAGTTATGAAGACCAAGAGTCTAATGCCAACAAAAATAAAAACAAGGTATACTCTTGTGATGGGATGTTCAAGTTTAATCTAGTTAATGAAATAAACAAGTCTTCTGCTTATATTGTGACTTCTTGTAATGTTTGACATGGTAGATTAAGACATGTTAATTATGCTTCCATTAAATTTTTGGTTAAATTAAGATTGATTTCTAATTGTGATGAATTATCTAAAGAAAAATATGAAGTATGGGCATAAGCTAAAATTATTAGAAAACCATTTCCTTCAATAGAAAGAAATAGTGAATTGTTAGGAGTTATACATAGTAACATATGTGATTTAAATAATGTTCTAAGTAGAGGTGGTAAAATATATTTTATTATTTTATTAATTCTTTTATAATAGATGCTTATGTTTTTATTTGCTTTGACATAAAGATGAGGCTTTTGAAAAATTTAAAGTTTTCAAAGCAGTAGTTGAAAATTAACTTAGTAAGAAAATCAAAATTATTACGAATAATAGAAGATGAGAGTATTTATCAAATGACTTTAATAAATTTTGTGAAACTAATGGAATTACTCATCAAGCAACTGCTTCTCATACCCCTCAACAAAATAGACTAGCGGAAAGGAAAAAAGAACTTTAATTGAAATGGTAAATGTTATGTTGATTTCTTCTTCATTGCCATTTAATTTATAGGGTGAATCTTTATTATCTGCATGCTTTAATTTGAATAGAATTCCATGTAAAAAGTGTATTTGTGGGTTATTCTCAAAATAGTAAAGCTCATAGATTTTTGGATATAAATTCTAACACAAAAATGGAATCTAGAGATGCTAGAGTTTTTGAAAATCTCACTTATAAAAGTGAATTAAATGAATCAAGTAGCATGCCAAATGAAAATAATCATTAAAATGGTCAAAATGTTAATGAAGAATATGTAGAAAATAATGAACATAAAATACTAGAACCAAGAAGAAGTAAAAGAATTAAAGGCGATCCATCTTACAACTTTGGGCCTGATTTTTATATTTGTCTTGATGGGGCTAATCAGAATAAAATATTAAATTCATTGCTTATGGTCTCAAATATAAAGAAAGATCATAACCACTACGTGAAGCTTTGTCATCTTTATATGCAATTTTTTGGAGAGAAGATATAAATAGTGAAATGGATTCTATAATGAGAAATAAATACTTGAAAATTAGTAGATCTTCCACCTAGTTTTAAACTCATAGGTTGTAAATGGATATTTAAAATAAAATGAATTCTGATGGTTCTATTAGCAAATGTAAAACATGATTATTTGCTAAAGTTTTTTTTAAAAAAAAGGCATTGATTATTTTGACACATGCACCTGTGGCAAGAATGGCTAATATTATATTGTTTTTAGCAATAGCCTCCATTAATCATTGTGTTATACATCAAATGGATGTAAAACCCGATTTCTTAAATAATGATTTCGATGAAGGTATATATATAAATATATATATAAGTAATGATCCTATGAGACCCTCCCACACTCATGTGTGTAGGACCCCAAAGGAACACCATTAAATTTGGTACAGATCTATATATGGGAAAATATGGGATTAGCTCACTAGCTCATATGAACATATGAGCCCAATGTCCCAGATTGAATCTGAGCCTATTTGACGATCACGGATGTCCGTTAGTGTTTGAATTTTAGCGTTTTTTTTTTCAAATTCAAATTACTTAAAATTTTATGCGCGTGTTCATAAAAAAACTGGTGAATCTTTGAAAAATATCAAAAAAAAATTGCAAGAAATAAATTGATCAAAATACCCCCGAAATGTTTTGGGAGGTATTTTGGTCATTTTGCTTCTCGCGAATAATTTTTTTTATATTTTTATTAGGTGCACATTGATGAGAAGAACACACACCTAAAATTTCAAGTAATTTAGATCTATAGAAAGATAAATAAAATTCAAGCACTACCGGACATCCATGATTGTCGGATCGGCCCAGATTTGGGCTCATATGTTCAAATGAACTAGTGGGCTAATCTCATCTTTTCCCTATATATATATATATATATATATATATATATATA